CCAGGAGTATGGAGGACACACTTTGTTCCGGGCTAAACAGGGATGTCAATGAAGCGTGGTGCAGAATTCCCGTAAGCGAGTCTAGGAAAGGTACAAAACTTCGATGCCGAATGACTGTAGGGTGTGCACTAGGTCGACTTTCTCTCCAATCTACAGGGAGTGCTTACTTTAACGGACACCAACCAAAATAAGGATCGGGTGCGACTGGTTGTACTATTTGAGCATAGGCGAAATTGGCGTCGCAAGTGAATGCAGTTACTCAGTGAAGAAGGATGGAGCAGAAGACAGTGACAGCGAGAAAGTAGCTGTAGAATCCATGGTTTTGTCCAAAAGTGTATGATACAATCCTCTTGACCACACCAAGGTTGGAAGTTAAATATGGCGAACAACATCCCGCACAGCTTGCAAAATACCCCAGACACAGGGCCGTCCAGTGATATCAGAGAACAGCACTTATTGCGCCTAGTGATTGCACAAGCAGTTAATGGGGTTTTCGCTTGTTTGGTGGCAAAGCAGTGGCAAAATGTTTCCCATAGTCTTCACTTCAGGTTACTGGGACATAACGCTTAGCTAAGAAGCGTTATTTGCTGGATTTAATAGACTGCGACATGCGTCACGTAGTGTAACTCATTCCCATAATTGTGTGAACATAATTAAATAAATATACCGACAAATACACAGGCACATTTCCCAGCTGAAGGGATACGTTACCTTTAGTAGTTCGATCGTTTATTTTGCATAAGAAATCACTCCTAAGCTCTATCTCTGGATGCTATTTCACTGAAAATAAAAGATGGAAGCGGTATTCTTGCATGCTATACAAACCCTCAGCTGTCAGGTAAACACCAGCCGTTATGCACGGGAGAGAAATACTATCAGATAGCCGGCACTTACACCGGATGGAACCGAGGATTAAAGAGCTTCAAGCCTTAATACTGAACTCCTTGCCTACCAGGGGTTACTTAGCCAAAGAATCCTCTATTGTTATTACTTTGAATTCACTATCCGAAATGGAATTAAACCTTTACAGTTGCCGAAAATACAAAGCAAACAAATGTCTTTGAACGTAGGTGTTTCAGTGAAAAATTGGACATACGCAGCCCCGCTATGCAGAGTTCATAATCTTATATATTTATCTTTTTATTTAGATTCAAGTCGAATTGAAAGCTGTAAACACAGCTATTTCTATTTGTAAGTTCAGCCCTTGAACACCAGGAGCGAACAACCTAGCAGATAGAGCACGTAAACCTTATCTTTAAATGTCGTTTCAGGAGGTACATCTTCTTCTAAGTGAAACCATCCTTTCAGACACGGTTTCAATGATCAATTTGACGGAGATTTGCTTCAACCCTGCGTCACAAGCCAACACAGTGAATGCTTCAAAATAGTCCTCCGATCCCTCTGTTGCATTTTCACGCGACTAAAGAAGCTTTCAACCTCAGCAACCTTTTCGTCATCAATTTAACACTAAATATCTTACCTACGAATGAATCTCACTTCAAACAAATTTCTGATGCTCTGGCCACCGCAGAGGATAATCAACGGTGCCCTATCTGCTGCATCGGGCAGGGTGGATACAGGGTTTGGATGCTACTTGCTCAAGCCTTCCCGCCTTCTTATTCCCCCACTTGCGCTTTTTCACCTTTATCGTCCCGTTCCAGCTTGACTTTTATCCCCCTGTTTTCAACCCTCCAATTTTCGGCCCTCCCCCACCTTGCTTCAATAGTCGCTTGTCTTTTAGTTTCAAATCACATGTGAACGCGGAGAGTCATTCCTGCTCTGTAAACAGGCCCATGTAGAAGCAAGCGGCTCATTCCAGTTCGTCGGCTTCCATTTGGTGCCCTCGATCCTCCTTCAGATTGGCATGCCTCAGTGTTCGCACATTGCTCCAGATCGGTCAACAGGCAGCACTTGCCCGAACATTAGAGACCCTCTCGATCGATATCTTCTGTTTATCGGAGACCCGCCTGCATGACTCGAGCTCTGTACTCACTCTGCGATCCCCTTCAGGTGACATTAGCAGCACTTTCTCATTGCACCTATCCGGTGACGATGCAGCTTCGAGCACCGGACAACCTGGTGTTGGTATTGCCCAGTGTCCCCGGGCTGAATCTACTCTGGTCGACTGGATTCCAATCAGTAGCCGGATGTGTGCGGTCCGATTGGCTGGCTCGTTCAAAACTTCGAAGTCGCGTGGGACTAACAGGTGTCTATTCGTTATCGCTGTCTATGCACCGACAAACTGTAGCTATGACTCGGTAAAAGACGACTTCTATCGCCAACTGAACGAACTCCTTAGCTACAGAAGAAGCTCGGACACTGTAGTGATAGATGGGGATCTGAACGCTCAAGTTGGAAAATTATCCACGGATGAGCTGCATCTGGGCGGCAAACATGGTATAGGCTTCCGTAATGATAACGGTGAGCGGTTGATTCATTTGTGTGAGGATGCTCACTTATTTCTTGCGAGCACTAATTTCCGACACAGCACCCGCCGGATGGTGACTTGGCGCCTACCAGCCTCGAACCAGTTTTGGACACAAATCGATCACCTTGCGATAAGTTACCGATGGAGAGGCTGCGTCCAGAACTGTCGCTCGGTTTGGAGCACAGGTGTGGACACCGACCATGCACTTGTATGTGCTGACCTGCGGATGCGCATTGGAGTACGCCCAAAACGACGTTGTGAGCGCATTGACCCCAGCCAACTAGCGAAGCCAGCTGTTCTGAATGCCTATCAAAGTACGCTGTCATGCGAGTTGGATAAACCCTCACTGGATGCAATTGGAGCTCACTGGTCTCATATTCACTAGACCTTACTTGCAGCAGGCAAATCCTCAAGTGGTATGTCTAATCACCAACGTGGACATTGGGTCTCTTCACAGTCTCTGGAACTTATGTTCGCCGGTATATTACGGCTGGAAGCGAACACAATGAAAATCGCTAAGAGCTCCGGGAAAAACTCCGTGCTAGACTGAAGAGAGACCGCGAATCCTGGTGGTCTCATCTTGCATCAGAGATGGAAATGGCCGCTGCCCTTGGTAACCATCGTATGTTATTCCGTCTGATACGGGAAACGGGCAGAAGGAGACCTGATGTTACTGAAACTATACGTGACGAGAGTGGACAGCCTTTCAACAAATCAGAACGCTTAGGGCGTTGGGCTGAGCAATTTAAAAGGCAAGTTAATCGGTCTGAATGGTTCGATTTCTCGCCGGCCAATAATCGCCTCGTTCCCTGGGCTGTCTCTTTGGATCCACCCTCTCGCTCAGAAGTTGAACGTGAGATCGAACTGTTGAAGTTAAATAAAGCCGCGGGACCTGATGGTCTTCCTCCAGCCATCTTCAAATTCGGGTGACCTGCTCTTGTGGATGATTTACATGAGTTACTAGTAAAACTGGGGGAGGAAACTGTCCCAACCGATTGGAGCCGCTCCGTCATGGTCCTAATTTTCAAGAGAGGCTCACGATCGGAATGCGGCAGCCATAGAGGAATCAGTCTGTTCTCCATCGCCTCCAATTTACTTTCCTCTGTCATTCTTCAAACTGACTGGCACTCGTGAAATCCAGATTCGTGAAGAGCAAGCTGGATTTCGTCGAGGTCGTGGCTGCATTAACCACATCTTCACCTTGCGTTAGTTGTTGGAGCACCGTCACATATATTGGCAGCCCACCGTTGTCGTGTTCATCGATATCAAAGGTGCATTCGATTCGATGGATAGACATGCACTTTGGGACTGTGTACTCAGGAGAGGTGTACCTGAGAAATATGTGAATATTATCCGAGCATTATATGCGCGTAGCTCGGGCAGAGTGAGGGCTTACGGCAAGTTGTCTTCGCCCTTTAATATCTCCAGCGGCGTGAGACAAGGATGTCCGCTGTCACCTTTCCTCTTCAACTTCGCTGTTGACGAAGTCATGGAAATCGCGTTCACAGGACACGACTTAGAATGTGTGGATCTGCTCTTAGGAGAACGACTTCTTTATTTAGAGTATGCTGATGATATTGCCCTGATCTGTGACAGGTCACTAACGTGCCAAGCGGCACTGGACAGATTAGCACTAGCTGCCCGTCAGTTCGGGCTTTGCTTCACACCCTCGAAATGCAAAGCGTTTCTCCAATATTGGTCTGGGCCGCTTCCTACGCTGACCGTTGCTGGGGATCAGCTTAAGTCGTTCAAAAATTCAACTACCTGTAAGTTGTATCAGCGCCCGTGGGCCTGAGGATGAGATCACGAGCCGTATAGCAAAAGCTCGGGGCGCTTTTGCCAACCATCGCCACTTTAGGCGCCAACGCGACATCATTCTTACCCTGAAGGGTAGAGTGTACGATGCAGCGGCACGTTCGACCCTACTGTATGGTTGTGAAACCTGGCCGATTAAAGCAGCGGATCTGACGAGGCTAGTTACGTTCGACCACCGGTGCCTTCGTAATGTAGCTCACATCTGGGGGGAACACCGCGTGAGCAACCAGCATGTTCGATGCCTTGTTTATGGCACAGAAAAAGGAAATGAACCGCTTAACACCATCATTTCACGCACCAGGCTCCGATGGCTTGGCCACGTGTTACGCATGCCAGCCCACCGACTCCCGCGACGTGCGTTGTTTACGCGCCGGGGATGTGGATGGAAGAAGAGGAGGGGTGACCAAGTGATGACTTGGTCGAGAGGAATAAAGGCCCTCACTTCTGAGCTGGCCTCGGTTGGAGCGTCTCGGCTCCCTGGTAGGAGTCTGAAAGACGATGAACACGTTTGGTTGGACACATTTGCTGATATGCCTAGGAGCCGACCTCAGTGGCGTTCCTGCTGTGAGTTTCTTTGTCCCGCCCCATCCCTCTTAGCCTCCCATCCAACCACGATCTCATTATTTAGCCTTATCTAATTTTACATAGTAATTTGTTTGATGCACAGTAGCCGGCTGGTAGCTTACCAGAACGATGCCCATCCGTTACCGGTAGCTCAGCCAGCTTGCATCAGTTGCATTTTTCTTCTCATTTTTTTCTGTGTATTTCGGCACAGTAGCTAAGGTGTTCCCCACCTCTAGCTAACCTGTATGATGATGATGATGACGAATGCCCTCCGGTTATTTAGATTATTCTGTTACTTCTGAACTATTCGGAATAATAGTTACACTTCTTAAACGGAACACCTGGAATAGCTACGTGGTTCGATGTACGCCACACATTCAAGCAAGTGTGCGTCAACTGCGGACTATACGCCTGCTGCAGCCAAGGTCAAGTGTCTGCAAGCGCCCGAGGTGGTATTGCGTTCGCAATCGTCATTGTTTCCAAGTTTAGCACTAATAACGTGACACATTTCGCCCCAAGTGGTGGTTGTACTTATGTATCAAGCCGCACGAATCGTCAAATTCTGAATAGGGGTTTCCTATCGCACTTTCAAAATTAATTGTACTGTTTGTTTTAACAAAAGTGCAAGTCGCCAGAAATCCCGGATTTCGTATGCGCATTCCTGTAAATCTGCGTCACCGAGTACATGTTCCCGTTCAACTCCGACAGTGCACAGTACTGAGCTTGCGTCATCGAACCACACATGACTAGCGCTTAGGTCCCCAAATTTCGCAGCGTGCGCATCATGAGAGCCATGGAGCACTTGTGTAACATGAACTTGGCTGTTTTAGGCAAACTGAATAAGCATTAAAGAAGGTAAAACAGCAATTCGGCCTCCTTCGTTGGGTATCCGGTATTTTTGACGCCTCAGTCTTTCCGCAAACGTTCGGCGGGTGTGGAATATCCTATGCAATCGTGGTACCCCTGGCATAATCGTGACTTCACTGCTCTAGAGACGGTGCAACATAGGGCGACTAAAAACGCTAAAGGATCTTTTTGTTCCTTATCAATTCGAACTAACAACTATAAAAAAATGCATCGGCATCTACGGCGCTGGTCACGATTGTTTAGCGGAATCTAAAAGCCCCAGAGACACTGGATACCAGCTTGCGAACTCACCCAAAACAAATATGCATGGGGCCAGCAGTTCTAACCGGCCATATAATACCGAGGTCTGGGATGTCGACGAATTTGTTTCTTTTGCAGTTTCACAGCCCTGTAACTCCCTCCCAGCGCATGTAGTTAATACTACAACTTTATCAATGTTCCAATGATCACTTGTAGTCACATGGGCAAATTAAGAGTACATGATAAGTCGTGTGATTATCAAATGGCAGCATTAGTAAAGATCAATGGCCTGTATCAGACACCCCTCAAAATCCAGGTAGGAATATCTATGCCTGTGTTACTGCAGACCTCTTGTTGGGTTAGGCAGATTGTGCGTTGTATTATCAACAATGTGCTTTTATCTTGTAACTTTTACGCTAACTATCCTGCGGAAGTGTCAAGCATCTGCATATTACCAATTGTAAAACATCACTCCAATGCTTCTCCAATGTTCCATTAGAACAACTTAACGCATTTTCATTTTTTTCCTTTTGGTCGTCAGATTAATTTCATACGAAACCGTTCGACTCGGATCGGAAACAATTTCAAGCTGAATACGGACGCTTGAGACGCTTGATACTCGTAACACCTAACCTCGAACATTTCCGCCATTTCTTTTCTTACCTCCCCTGAGAGTCATTATTTCTTATTCGGTTAGTTATGGGCTGAATGCCCAAGTGCTCTGATACTTGCTGTGATATGAAACAGTAATCACCGTATGATTTTCGTCAAGGGCAGTCTGGTAACCAAAAATAGCATACTAGGAGACGGATGGCTTCTGGGCTACGCACTATCAAGAAGAGCAAATGAAATATTGTGTTGTGGTTGAGGAGTTCTTGTACAAGAGGCTGGAATGTCCAACTAGACACAGCAGCAGACCGGTTGTTTCTATAGTGCTCTTATGCCGTGTTTTTCAGCGATTGTCTCAGCGATTTATTTAGCCAGCGAACTAGTAGGAAGTCAGTGTGCGCGTGGGAATTTTAACCTAACAAATGCCAAGGACTCGGCCCTGGTGGGTGATCTACTATTGCACCCTAAGGTGCGTTACTTAATAGCTTAATTAGGAACAAACCAATCCCTGGATGATCTTGGGTTAATTCCGTAAATTTGGCGGACAGAATCAAGGTTTACTAAAGCAACCTGTTTTTTGCGCATAACACCCGGTTCTCTTTGTGATTTAGATTCGCTGATTGTTCAGAAAAAGATGTCATATTGCAGTAGAAATCAATACTGATCCTATGAACTTAAATCTCAAGAGCGGAGAATGACGCACCCAACAAAATGTTGTTGACAGTTGTCACCCTAACGGTATGGGCTTGATTGAGTGACAAAGTTTTACTTGTGAACTGAGGTGGGAGCTAAGCTCCAAGTTATGTGTGCGTGTGGCCATATACTTTTTAAATATAGAACAACAAGACTTCTGGAAATGCACAAGTTTTGGCCGCCATTTTCTTAGCGTCAGAAAGTAATAATCAATAGAGATATGTGAGCACTTCGTGATTAAAATTAAAACTAACATGCTGCTTAAAATAAATGAGAACTCACTCTGATTGTCAGGGTCCGTGTTCATCAGCTTTATTGAGATACTGTCTTTCGGAGAAGGGATCTTGGAGGGAAGGCGAGAGAATTTTGGTGTGACAGTGATAGCCTCCGATGATGTGAACACAGTATCATCCATTTCATCTTCAGAAGAATAATCCCCATTCATTGGTCGAGGAACATTGGAACGGTGTCGTTGGTTTCTCGGCAACATTGTTCGTTTTCTGGATAAGGTTGGACACTCGTCAAATTCAGGATGGAAGTCGTTTTCCGCAGCTATTTTCACGGGTATCTCAGAATCACTACATGCTGTCGTATATAACTCTTCACTTCCCGTATGCAACAAGCGGCTATTTACAGTGACGTACGAATCTGCTTCACTTATAATGCTTTCTTGACTAAATGTGGATAAAACTGAGTAAACAGAACCAAGAACAGTGGAATCTCCACTTCTTATGTGCAGTTTCAAAGACCCTGCTGAAACTGGGCGCTGTTTCTTCGGACTGGAAGACTCTGAGTCAACTTTTTTCGGTCGTATCTTAACTACTTGTGGGAGTTCAAAGCATGCTCCAGGCATGCTGAGTGCAGTTGGGTCAAAAACAAATGTCTGATTTACATCCATCACCGGTTTAGGAGTTTGGTTCTCAGCGGATCCGAGTTCAATCCCACTAGTCCGGTACTCACAAGGGTTGACAGAATGCCTGTCAGGTGAAATATCTCTCGGCGATTTGAATTCCGCCTCCATCGATTGACCATTGGGGTGCTTAGTGGACATCGGTGGCACGTGCTGCACGCTAGTGACCGACTCGCCCGGCATTTGTGGGTCACTCCCACGTGCTGAGCTGTCCATGTCGGATGAAGACCAGTCATCCTCAATCTCTTCCGAGGCCTCGGATATGGTGGTTAGAGCATGCGCCTTGTCGTAAACCCCGCAGACCTCTGTATCACCTAAAATTTGGAGTCTGTCATCATTAGAAAAATCGAATTGACTTCGTTCTTCACTTGCAAGAACGATGTCGTTCAAATTCACCTCGCCGGTGGCGAAATTGTCGAAAGTAGGCGAAACTGCGGGTGACATGCTTTCGCCGGATTCATCATCCGGTTCGGACGCTCCAGTACCAAGATCATCTAGATCCGTCTGCTTAAAAGACTGATGAAAATGCGAATCTAGAGAAAATGGGTTTATTCCCCTTTCAAATTCCCCGTTTTCCTCTTCCTTAAAGGGATCATGCAAATTGTAATCTGAAGGGGATCGCCATGTTTTACCGCCGTTCCCATCAACTGATGACCCAACGTTATTTTCCACTTCGGACATAACGCAGTCGAAGAGCTCTCTATTTGTCTCACTCTTGCAAAAAGGTTGCATGGGTCCACGGATTTGAATATCTTTGTACTCATCTTCTACTACCTCGTTCAGTGGCTCATCAAAATCTGCATTTAGGTTCTCCAAGATATCCGGTCGATTATCGTACCGGCTTAAAAAATCACAAAGCTTTACACCTGTACAGTCTTCTTTGTCAAGATTGGTTATCCATTTACTTGATTGTACTGTGGATGCGTGCACATCGGGGCTCAGCGGCATTTGTGTGGAATCGATTCTTGATGTCAACTGGTCGATATCCTTCTTAACTGACTGTAGTAAATTTTTCATGGAATCGTAACGAGCTTCACTGGCCCACAACCAGTCCTCCACGCTTGGCGCTTCCGTTGTTGGTTTCTGGTTCTCCATTAGATCAAGTAATATGGGAAGACTCTTGAACGTTTGGTAAAAGCTCAACACATTCCCGATTTTACTTATACGAAAGTTTAGAAACGAGACTGAGGGTTAAGTACGCGGAAAATATGTCGGAATTCGCTGTTCTATATCATGATGGTAACTGAACTAGTTGGCAATGACATTTGCTAATAAAGGTAGGTCACTGAGCATATGATTCATTCACATTGCAAATAGCGCCAAATATCTGATGAATTGACAATAAATGGATAATCTCCAGCTAGGGGAGGCGAAGAGAAACTCCGAAAATTAAACGCCGTTCAGTGCAAAAGCATCCCATGGGCCATGAGTACGGCGACACAGGGCACTGTTGTAAGGTCGCTTAACTTGAACAGATTCGAGATACAGTCCAGTGAGTTGAAATTCACTTGAATAAATGCATTATAAAATGCTGCGAGTCTCAGTGAATGTCTCGAACTATCGCAAATAAATGCGGTGCGGATGTGCGATATCAGACGTGTGGTCCCGGAAATACTGGAATTCGTGATTGACTCCGTTCACGTGTGCTAAAACGCAGATGAGAGAAAAGAAGCATATTTAATATTGGTACACAGTAGTGGCTACAGAAATAGGATAAAGTATGTGAAATTACAGATTGCAGAATCATCATGGAGTAATTCTTGCACCGCATCTCTAGTTACCGTGTGGTTATGTATCGTATATATATATATATATATATATAATCCACTGTCAATACAATGGACATCCAGCCATCAAGAAACCATGGAATGAATGTGTATAACAAGTACAAAGATCACAAAATGGAAGATACATACAGAACATGTTTTGCGTTTTTACCATCGGCCGGTGGCCGTGTGGTTTGTACGCCTGACTTTCAACCACAGGGTCACCGGTTCGAATTTGCGTAGGGGCGGGCGTCCTCGCGGTGTACTCAGTCAACGCAGGACTGGTGGTGATTGCACGGCAGCAAACCTCAATTACGGCGGACAGCTGTCTAATTAATTCTCCTTTTTTATTTTTCAAGCCGGTTTGTCTCATACTATGTCAGTTTGTTGACTATGGCTGGCTTGCCGAACTATTTCCTCATGGTGCCAGCTGGGTGGTTCAGGTGTACCCCGTTCCAGCAGAGTTCGAGGACAGTGTCCCACGTCGGTGAAGCATTGTATTCCAGCAAAATTTTGCGGATTTCATGGGAGGATCAGACGCCTGTTTGGTGGTCTCCTAAACGAAAGGCGCAAGAAACGAACATTCAGTTCGCGCCTGCCAATGGCCGCGATTCCCTAAATTCGCCCCGCTGCCTTGCGGATAGGTTATTTAGTCAATGGATCCGGGTGGAGTCCCCTAAGTCAACTCCCTACTTCGGTTTGGGCAACCGGGTAGTATCACGCCATCTCACAAACTATGGACTGTAGTACAACGTGCATATCAGCTACTATTTCTGCTTCTAATATTCCCGCGACTTCATCACACGCCAATATTTGTTTGCTAACAATCCTCAATTTCCATTAACTTATATATGTGCTCAAAAATCTGGCTGAGATTCTGGTTAAGCTGCGGACCACGGAGTTCAACCTATGGCTCTCCTTCGTTCCCGATTCTCGTGCCGTCTGGCGTGCTTCAACCTTCCTGCAGATTGGACAGCAAGCCGGTCTAGCGCGCACCCTTGAGTTCCTAGCCATTGACGTCTGCTGCTTTTCAGAAACGCGGTTGCAATATCCCAGCACTGTGCTTACATTGACATCCACCATTGAACACGAAGGCAGATATCACATGCATCTTTCTGGAGATCCACAAGCACCCTCAGTGACTTTGGCTGGTGTAGGTATAGCACCACGTGGCAAGGCCAAGGCGACACTACTGGACTGGTTCCCGATTAACAGCCGACTATGTGCAGTTCGGCTTCGGGGTTCATGTAGAATCAACAAGCGCCGCGAAGTGAGACGCAACTTGCTTTTGATCTCCGTGTACGCTCCAACTGACTGCAGTGGCGACTCGGTCAAGGACGAATCCCAACGGGATCTGCATCAGCTCTTGGATAATGCTAAAAAGTCGGATGTCGTTATCCTTGCTGGGGATTTTAATGCACGGGTTGGCCACCTGTAACCATAAGAACGACACCTTGGTGCTCATCTTGCACTGGATGAGAACCGCTCTGATAAGGGAGAGCGGCTTCACACACTGAACGAAGACAACCATCTGTTTCTCTAGAGAACTAACTTCAGGCGTACGAAGAAGCGTTCCGCAACGTGGCGTCCTCCTTCTTCAACACATCCGTGGTATAGAAGTGCTCACATTGCAATTAGCTTCAGATGGCGCGGCAGCGTACTGGACTGCAGGTCTTTTTAGTTCACCTTCATTAACACAGATCATACACTGGTCTGCGTGAAAATCTGTATGTGTATTGGAGATCCCGAAACATGAAGCACCGCAAGATTGATGTAAACAGATTAACTGTTTCCTCTGTCCAGGCGAGCTATCATTCTTCATTTGCAAATGCACTCACTTGCAATCCACCGCAAGACGTGGAGCAACACTGGACTAGTATACGGAAAGTGATGACCATTTCCGGACAGTCATGCTGCGGCCTAACTCGACGCCCCCTAAAGCCTTCTATCTCTGCTCGTTCCGCGAAGCTATTCGAACGCCGCAAAGATATCCCCGCGGAATCAGAATGCAACGAGCAGCGCCGTTCTGCTAACCGAATGCTCAAGCAAAGCCTACGCAATGATCGTTAAACATGGTTGTCTGAGCATGCTTAAGAGATGGAGACCACTGTCTTCTCTGGACAAACTCGCAGGCTTTTCCAACTCATTCAGTCCACTGGCCTCAGGATGCCTGGTGTCAGTGAGGTGATTTGTGAGGTGGATGAGTGTTCGATCGCCAATCAACTGAGGGGTATGGACCGCTGGGCCGAGCACTCTCACCCGCAGTTCAACTTGCCTCCACCATCCATCAGTACATGCAGCACACCTTGTTTTCCACCCTGGCTCGTCCTACTGAATCCACCCAGCGAAGCGGAAGTCTGCCTCGAGATCCGACGCTTGTAGCGGTTCAAAGCTGCCGGCTCAGACGGACTTCCTGCGCAGCTGTTCAAGTACGGCGGTGTAGAGATCATCAATCAGTGGACTGCACCGTTCGCAAAAATCTGGCATGAAGAGAAAGTGCCTTCCACTTGGAGCGAAGCAGTTGTTGTCGAGATTTTCAAGAAAGGCCCTCGCACTTCATGTGTAAATCTTCGCGACATCAGTCTTACATCGGTTGCCTCTAAGCTATTGGCATCCATTCTGCTTCGTAGACTATACCCAGTACGTGAATCGTACTACTGTGAAGAACAAGCTGGTTTCAGTCCTGGCCGCGGATGAGTGGATCAAAGCTTCACGCTCCGCTAGCTCTTCGAACATCGCCACATTTATCACAGGCCCACTATCATTGCATTTATCGACATACGTGCCTTCCGCCTTTGACTCCGTTGATCGACCTGCTTTATGGTGTTGCCTACTAAAGAACGGGGTTCCAGATAAATATACCGCCATCTTACGAGCGATTTACCATCATACATGCGGAAAAGTGAGGGTCTATGGCAAGCTTTCCTCGCAATTCGCTGTCCCTAGCGGTGTGCGAATGGACTGCCCTACGTCATCATGCCTCTTTAATTTCGTAATCAAAAATCTTCTATCGAATACTCTAGAAGCTTTCCAGAATTTTGGCCTGGAGTTTCTACCGGGTGAGCGCGCGACCGACTTAGATTTTACTGTTGATATCGCCTTAGTTGGTGACGATCCTCAGGGTATCCAACTCATTCTGGATGGTTTGGCTGTTGAAGCATCTAAGTATGGCACGAAGTTCGCCCTATCGAAATGTAAAGTACTGCTCAAAAATAGTCTTTCACCTGCTCCCGTGCTCACTCTTGAAGGTGCACAACTTGAACAGGTAGATAATTTCGTCTACCTTGAGAGCTGTGTTTCTGCCGACGGCACTATCCACAAAGAAGTTTCTATTCGCTTTGCTAAAGCTCGATCAGCATTAGTCAGTCTGAGGCATTGTGGTGTCGTCGTGATGTCTCATTCTCACTAAAGGGCCGCGTTTTCAGCGCACTAGTTAGCTCAGTATTGTTGTATGGGTGCGAGTCCTGGCCGATCCGCGTGGAAGGCATGCTTCGTCTTTCAGCCTTGGATAACGGTTGATTAAGGAGGGTTGCCCATGCTTGGTGGCAACATCAAGTTAATAGTAGTGAAGTTCGAAATCGCATCTTGGGGAATGCGAGTATTCCCTTCAACAAACAGGTTTTGTTGCGCCAGTTGAGGAGGCTGGGTCACGTCCTACGCATGGCACCTAAGCATTTACCGCGTCGCGCTCTGTTCGCTCGTCAAGGACCCGGCTGGAGGCGACCGCGTGGTAGTCAGCCTTCTACATGGCGGCAGCACATGAAATCGCTGACATGGTGTCTAGCCGCTGCTGGATCCGTGCATCTTCCAGGATGAGGACCAAAAGATGAGGAGTGCCAATGGCTTGCTACTCTTGGAGACATGGCCCGCAACTGGAATCAGTGGAAGGATTGTGTACAGTATTGTATTGATTCATATCTTTAATACTTCAAACATTGAAAGTGAAAAAAGCGCTAAAACTCGGCGTGTGAAAAACGAACCATAAAGGTTTTGTTCTACTTTCCGTCAAAATGTTCCTTACTTCCTGCGGCATATTAGCTGAAGTGTGTTGCTAACCTTCAACTACTATGCCACGATGCTTATGACGTGATGTTTGTCCCTTATCCGCTGAGCTCCACGGTTTTCTGTTGGCTCTGTGTCAAGTTTCTAAACTGCTGAGATTACTACTATTACTCTGGTAAATGATTACGGTGATGATCAATAGAATCTATGTATAGACTCATGCAAACATTCCACTGTCCGCTGTTGCACGCTATGTCCTTAACAGTATCCAACCAGCGATGTTCGTCATCTCTGACTCCCCAAACTTGAAGACGTAGGGAGCCGACAACAGCTAGACTGGAAGTCAACGCTTTGACATTTTGTGGCCATATGAGAGGTTGACCACTACGCCATTTGTTTCAGTTCGGTCCTGCGCGCTTTGCTTTAGACATAAGCTGGACAACTCAGTTAGCGAAGCGATAGTAGCTTCTCGAGAGGGAGGCCCGAAATACCCAGGAAGCTAGGCCTAGTCTCGAGGTTGCAATCGTAGTGAAAATGAGGGTAGATAGACGGACACATGCTTTCTTTAAGAATTTTGAGAGCGCTATGGATACAATTAGTCGAGAAAAGTTATAGTTTCCTGGTATACCGTACAAACACCGATGCAGGATGCGGGGCTGTACACCCTCCCCTAAGGTCGTTTTTGAGCAATCCTCAAATTGTCCACGGAATGTGTCATCCGAGTAACTTCACCTTAGTGAGGCTGATTCTTCAGATGCACGCACCATGCGGCAGATGCGGGCACCGGTAAAGGATTGGGTGCAGAATCTAAAGCGTATACCTTACCATTCGTGTCTCGAGCTTGAGGTGGCCATATATGGAAACATCTTGGCGGAGTT